GTTAACCTTTGAGCCCTACATTCTCAACAAACTAGTTCAATTTATAAAAGATAGATTAACAATAATTCAAGCCTTAGTCCTAACTCAACAATACCATGCCCTCAAACAGACGGAACCATAAGTAAACTTTAAATAGAGAGGGCTGGACAATAGGTATAAGATTCTACCTATATACAAGAACAAGGGGGGGGGAATGAAAAATCCCTACCCAGGGCCCTCTAGGAAAAGAAAAACAAGGCCAAGCCGTTGCCTAATGGAAAAACCCAGACCAGGTGCCTCACCCTCAAACAGGATGTCAAACAGGATGTCTGTGATTACCAGAAGAGTCATGGGACCCGGATAATAATTGCTGAAGCCAGGATCTTTCATGAGGTAATACCAGGAAACCTAGTCCGTGGGAACTACCCCTGCCCCCAAGATGATCTCAGCCCACGCTTAAGTAGCCAATGAAATGCCTGTGGCTATGCTGATACTTATGTAACCATTAAGACTCTATAAATATTGTGCTCCCTGCAAGCCCGGTATGCTCTGCACCCGGGTTGCAGTAGCATCCCCAGGGGACTGTGTACTCAATAAACCACCTCTTGCTTTTGCATCCAGTGGTCTGACCCCGTTTTTGGGCAGAGGGTTCGGTTCGGTGCCCGGCGCTACGGTGTCAAGGTTTTCCACTAGTTCTAGGACAGCCTCCAAAGTCACAGAGAAACCCTGTCTCAAAACAACAGCAACAAGAACAACAACAAAAAATGTCAAAAATGTATTTGTCAAATGGAACTCAAAAATGCTTTGGAGATCTGGGTGGCACACACCTTTAATCCCAGCACTTTGGAAGCAGAGGCAGGAGGATCTCTGTTAGCTTGAGGCCAGCCTGGTCTACAGAGTGAGTGCCAGGGCAGGCTCCAAAGCAATACAGAGAAACCCTGTCTCAAAAAAATAAATGCTTTGGAGAGCAAAAAGAGAAAAGCTGTGGGTGCCATGTTTTTAGGGATTAGGGCAGAGTATCCAGACCCACTGGGGGTTGCTACTTTGACTGCACCTGTACAAATAAAAACAGAAGGCAAAGAGATGAAGAGGGCTTGCTAGGAAGAGACCTGGCATAGACTGCTTTGGCCCTGAGAATGTTACCAGGTCCTGTAGCACCATCAGAGGCAGGACACCCACTGGGTGCAGACTAACATGAAGGCTGAGGCAATTAATTATCTAGAACAAACATTTATCTCAAATGAGGAGCCTCTGGGGAGGTCTTGTTTCCATCCACAATGGGACCATACCAGGGATCCTAGGCCCCAACTTGCAGTCACACTGAGGACAGAGCAACCCTGGGATGGATGGAGGAAGACGGTTGCCTAAGCAGCTTCTCCCACCTCCTGTCTGAATAGACAATGAGAGGAGACAAGGCTAGGTGTTGTTGTCCATTGGCCAGAAACACTTCCCAGGGGTCTGATGGGAAGAAGGTTAGGGAAAGGTGACAATGTTCAAAGCCTGGGTTTTAAACCACCATATGGAGGCTAGGGATTGGACCTGGGTCCTCTTATCGGCTGAGCTGTTTCTCCAGAACTTCAGCCCTTCATTCTTTCACCAGGAATCCATGCTGGATCTGGTATAGTCTTCTAGTCTTCCCTATGGTTGGATGAATACAATTGATCCCCATAAGCTCATATGGACTGGCACTATTAGGAGGTGTGGATTTGTTGAAGTAGGCATGGCCTTGTTGAAAAAAAATATGTTACTGTGGGGGTGGGATTTAAGGACTATTATGCTCAAGCTATGCCCAATGTCACAGTTTACTTCCTGTTGCCTGTGGATCCATGTGTAGAACTCTCAGCTCCTTCTCCAGAAGCATGTCTCCTTGCATGCCTCCATGCCACACCATGATAATAACAGACTAAATCTCTGAAACTGTCACCCAATTAAATATTTTCCTTTATAAGAGTTGCCATGGTCATGTCGTCTCTTCACAGCAATAGAAACCCTAACTGGGTTAATCCCTTAATGACTGAGCCTCCTAAGAGTCATCAACTTCCAAAGAATCTGCCACCTCCCAATGGTGTCACCTGCTTCAGTACAGGAGTACCTTGTCTAAACCTACATGTTCATTTCCATAAAAATCAAAACTCTGAGAAAATAAGGTACTGAGATAGCTTAAGGTACTGTCACAGTATACAGATGTCATTAACTCGGGTTTCAGTTGGGTCTAAAAAGGGTGCCAGAGTGACTAGGACCTCTATAACTGCATTGTATATAACCTGCATCTTGATGACACTCCACCTACCACAAGACACTTGCCATTGCTACGAGGAAAGAAAAAAAACTGTACAAAGGGGACAGGAACGGAGTATGAATTCTGAGAAAGTCTCTCCCCGTCCCCAGAGAAGACAATGGATTTCCATCTCTTTCTACTATATCCCTCCCCTTTCATTTTATTTTATCCTCTCAACAGCTTCCTGGTGGTTGGAGAAGTAGATTTGGGAATTTATCTCCCACTTCTGCTCTTGGCCAAGAATGAAGGTCACCTTTGATTTTCAATCAAATCTCAGCCTTCTTATTGGGCCCAAATTTCAAGATGGAAAAAGAATCCATTTTTGAACCAGTAAGCAACCGAATAGATTCAGGCTTTTAGTAGCATAGCTCTTGAAGATTCAACCAAGAAAATGAACCCAGAAACTTGGCACAGAAAAACCAGCAACTTCACTAGAGATGTGGAGTCTGGCTAGCGTTAATGGGTCTTTGACAACCTGAAACTATGAACAGTGGACTTCAGCTCAGCAGAGTGGGGGTGAGGATGCTCCCAGCAGTGAGAAAACACAGGACTGCTGCACTCTGCTCTGCTCTGCTTTTGTATTCCGGACTCCCAAGGGTGGCTATGTGGGGGTCCTGTTCTCCCCAATGCACACCTGACTTCAACTCCAGATCATTAGAAACTCAGGCCAGGAAGAATTTATCAGCTCCCAGGAAGCAGGGAAGTCTGTCCAGCCAGCCTCTTCCAGATGGATTCTGTCCCAATCATGGATGGGGCTTACCTGAAGCTTCCACTCTAGGAACTGAGACCAAAGGTCAGACAGAAAGAACTAAGCCCATCCCCAGCCCACATCCCTGTGAGAGTCCTCTACTGCACTCAACTGTGCACATGACACAGATGGGTCAGTAAATCCCAGGAATGTTGTGCAAGTTGTCACAATCTACCAGACTCACCTCAGTTAATTCCTCACCAGATGAATGGGTCAGCAAAGAAAGATGGTTGATTGCATAGGAGAGATGTGAGCCCCAATGCTAGGAATACTCACCAGAGACCCAACTAGAGCCACATCTTGCCCAAAGCTCACCCTAATCTTGTACCACCTCTGTCCAGTTCACTGTGGGAGTGGTGTTGTTCTGGATGCTGTTCCTTGATCCCTCTCAACTTCCTTTTTGTTGCCAAGGTAGGTTATTAAGAGTGTTATGTAATCCTCCTCTTTATTTCCTCTGGTCATTGGAAAGCAGGCACTGTGTGCTGTAACACACACACACCATTGCAATGCCCTGTGAATCCCCATGAACTTGACTTGTATGTGGAGAAGCAGCCTCTGCTTGTCTTTCTAACACCATGGAAGAGAGGCAGGGTCCTCCTAGTTTAGACTTTCCCACAGCTAAATGCTACAGACAGATGCTGCCTTCACCCTGTGCAGGAAGCTGGGAGCCAGGGGACAGGTGGTGCATCTCTTCAACAGGAACATTTTTACACAGAAGTGTGTCTCTCTAAATGGCTGGGGCCTGAGCAGATTCATTCACCATGGCAGGTCTGTCAACACAATGACTGAGGGAGATGTGGGGAAGTCAGTGAAGACCACCAGTAGTCACTTGATAGAGGACAGGTGTATCCAGGACGGGAAGAGTAATGGAGACTTGTTCTTGAGTCAGTGTGTGTGTACTCTTGTTTGTGACAAGTGAGCTTAGGAGGAAGATCACATAGCAGGGGAACAGGAACCAGGGCAGTCTTAGAGAAGGGTGCTAGGAGACAGCTGCTGTACCCGGGAAGGGACTAGGGGATGAGAAGTTGGCTTTCTGCCATGAGAGTAATGACCCCTGAGCCATCTCAGATACTGATTCCCTTCCAGGTTCATTTTGTGGGGACCATGAAGCTGACTGGACCTGAATGTCCCTCTTCACAGCCCAGCTGCTTGACCCTGTGGTTTATGATTAACAAACACCCAGCTTCCAGCCAATGAGGTGTCTACCCAGTCTGTTACCCCTGTAGGGTAGGTCACAGATACGCTTAAATACCCATCACAAGCACGGACAGTAAGGCTGATCTAGACTCTCAGCTCTGAGCGACGAGGTGAGTATGGCTTTGGGGCAAGCTTAGAGGGTCTCTGCATTTGTCTTGAGTAGCAGAACCTTCTTGGGACCTCCAGGTCAGGTTTTCTCAAAAGTCTAAATGTTCAGAGCTAAGAGGCAGTGGCTTTTTGAAACTTGTTCTTGAAATCCTGGATTTACAACATACAGACTCTAGGGAGAGTCATCAAGGGTCCAGCATGAAGACTGGCTGCCACAGGCTACCATCTCAATGCTCTAAGAAATTCAGAGATACAGTAATGTGGTCGGGAGTATACAGTATAAGGGAACCACCAGTACTTCACGCTAGCCTCTGTATCAAGTCCTCAAATGCCCCTAGAAGGCAAGTGTTTCTTTATCTGTTCTGCAAATGAAGGAACAGGTCCAGAGAGATTAAGTGACATGCCCAGTGTCATACATGTAGATAGGGAAAGAAATTAACATCCCAACTAGTGTGTCTGGCCTTATGATTTATCCCTGTGATAGTTTCCTCTTAGATGAGACCACACACACACACACACACACACACACACACACACACACACACACACACACACACACACACACGAGAGCCAGGTCTCCACACTTACTGGCAAGCTAGGAACTTACATTGTTTCTTCTCTCTTCTGCAGGAGTACAGGGAAACATACAGGCAGAGCTAGCTGTGTCTTTGGCATTTGAGACTTGAGTCACAGCAGTCTCCCATGGCTCCTTATCATATCCGAATATACCGGGGCAGTGACCACAAGAGTGTGGTGGACTTGTTCTCCAGAGGCATGGACGAGCACATTCCCACCACCTTCCGCTACATGCTGAGGCTGCCCGGAACTCTCCTGCTCTTACTTGGGATGCCTCTTACCCTACTCTTGGTCTCAGGCTCCTGGCTTCTGGTCCTTCTGTCCAGCCTTACTCTTTTTGTTTCCCTGTGGCTCCTTGCAAAACACACTTGGGAAAATTATAAAGTATTCTGTTTGCACACAGACATAGCTGACATCCCTACAATCTACCTGAGTTCTTGTGACTCCTGCTTCTGGGTAGCTGAGTCTAGGGGTCAGATCGTGGGCATGGTGGCTGCCCTGCCAGTGGAGGATCCCTTCCTACAGAAGAAGCAACTACGGCTATGTCATCTCTCTGTGTCCTTGGAGCACCGAAGAGAGGGGATAGGGAAAGCCATGGTCAGAACTGTCCTCCAGTTTGCACAGGACCGAGGCTTCAGTGAAGTTGTCCTTTCTACCAGTATGTTGCAGTATGCGGCCCTGGCTCTCTACCAGGGCATAGGCTTCCAGAAGACTGGCGAGTCCTTCTACACCATTATCTCCAGACTAAGGAAATCTCCGATCATACACTTAAAGTATTGCCTCAATTCTACTCAGAAAGGGGGCCTGTGATCTCTCTCCCATGTGTACATCAATCAGGATCTGAATGCCAATGTAGTAGTAACAAGCAAACCCAGCTACTTGAGGTAGAAAACACCCTCACATTACATTCAAGCACAGTTGAATCAATGTGTTTGTGGGAGAGGTTGAGGCAATGGCCACTCCTTGCTATACATGCTTTCCAGAGTATTGTTTATTTAACACTATAGTAATGTATAAGAAGCAACACTAAGTAATAACATTTTATTTAGCTTGTGAACCTTTGGATCATCTACTGGTCTTGGCAGGACAGCTCTCGGGGTCTCTGGACATCTTGGATTGGCTGAAGTGTATTACTTCATTCTAGTTTAGGCAGCATTCTAGGAGTTTACAGAGTAACCAAAGCAAAAGTATAAGGAAGAGTCATTTTCCAAGAACTGAATGTGTCACATGCAGAAACACTCTGTCATAGAAGGACTGCAGTCGCAGAAACAACGGACAGGATATGGCCCTGGGAGCAGCAAGGAGGTTACATGCTGGCACAGGGTAGGAAAGTGGGAGGGAATGGAGTGCTGAGTATTGTTTCCACCTTTTGGCAGTTGGCTGGCCCTGATCTTGTGCAGTGGCATGCTTATCTTTGGTTGGGCTGGACATGGAGTTTTCCTATAGCCAAAAAGAGCTACAGGATTGGTAGGATTCCCAGATGTCGCCCTTTGGACCCAGCCTGGTTTTAGCCTCTGCCCACATTGCCCCTGACTCCTGGTTTTCCTAAGTGCCTCTGGCCTGACCATGTGCTTCTATAAGCCTTGATGTTTTGGGATTGTGACAATGTTTGGATGGCATTACAAACACTATCAAATGCTACCAACTTGTGTATTTTAAAATGGTTAACACCAGGCATGTGCATGTCTTTAATCCCAGCACTCAGAAGGCAGATATGAGGCAGGAGGCTCTCTGTGAATTCAAGGCCAGCCTTGTCTACAAAGCAAATTCTAGGTCAGCCAGAGCTACATAATGAAACCTTATCTTAATAATTTTAAAAAATAAAATAGTTAACTTTAAAATTTGTAAATGTCTTCTCCCAATAATTTCAAAATGGAGAGAAGACTATAGATGTATCTAAAACTCTCAAGTTCACAAGTAACACACAGAAAGTTAGAGAGTAATGCTGTTGAAGGAGACGCATGCATGTGGACACACGAGTGTTGCCCCCCCCTCCCGCCCCCTGCATGTGTGTATGCTTATACAAATAGGCCAGAATTCACTCATCTTGGTTCCCCATTGCTGCGATTACCAATATGAACCCCATGCACCTGGCTTTGTTATGTGGGTTGTGGAAATCCAGGGACTCGAGGGTCAGACTCATTTCATTTTTCTGGCTATCTGCCCAGCCCCTGCTGGATTTCTGTGGAGAGAATGCGCAGAGGGTGTCAGGATTGATGACACAGAGACCCGTTGGTGGCTTCCAGTAGGCTCCTCAAGGAGGCTCTCCTTTATTCCTATTCTGGCTGGTTATTATATACCCTGACACCAGAGGCTGGGGTGGGTAGGTCTGAAAGAGGAGGTTAGTCTTTGGAAAAGGTCAAGGTCAGGGCGTTCAGTGGGCGAGCCCTTTTCAGGAATTTATTGCCCCGGGCATTGTTTTGTTTTTAGTAAACATGTTTTTAGTAAACATTGTCTTACAGCTGCCTGGTCCCAGGCTGATGGGGAAGTGGGTCTCTGGCCAAGGTCTGTTGTCCCCACAAGCTGCTGCTGTTATCATCTCAAAACACATAGCCACAAAATAGTGTAATTCACCATTCTAACCCCCAACTCCACTGGTTCAGAGGCTCGGAGGGGACTTCTTGGCCAGTTTGACACTATGTTCTGCAATGGAGGAATACAAACAGTGCTTGAGTAACCCAAAAATCTGCAGGTATGAGAGTGGGGGAAGGATGCTGCTTCTGTCAGAATTGAGGTGGGCATAAATTCAAGCCAACCAATGAATTGTGGGGGTTCCACAGAGTGGCAAAATGTAGACTTATGGGTTGTACAAGAATTTGTGCATGTGTAGCATAGGAGACGGATGGTTTTCCAACAAGCAGGAAGAAACAAGGGCATAGACCAAGATGATTTTTGAGCTTTAGTGACTTGGATCCAGCAGAGAGTAAACCTGGAATGTTGACTCCAGACTTTCTATTCCTTCAGCTAATAAGTAATTCCTTCAATTTGAAGGACACTGTTTTAATCTGAACATGGCAAACATGGAAAGACGTCAGGGACCTCCGGCCATCAACCAGGTACGACTGCCTCACATACTCATATGAAAAGACCTTCACAGAAAGTACATGACTCGGGACCACCCTGCTACCTGCCAAATTCCAGAAATAGACCTGCGGCTTATCTAGGGCATAGGCTTAAACAATAGAAGGTGGAATGTGAAAGATAAAGTTAGAATCTGCAGTTAGGTTACCCGAGGACACAGGATGACCTACCCATCCCACTGACGCCGCTCGAGGAGAGAAGGGCCCTTCCAGAGTGTCCCCCAGGGGACGGCAAGGTCTTCATTTCGGTGACCTGCCGAAAAGAGCAAGATGGACGGTGGCATGCAACGGCGCAGATCTCAAGGCCAATGTGAGTGATGGGGCAGGCATCATTCTCTCTAAAGTGTCTTCTTATTTCCAGGCTCAAGGAAGCCCTCAGGATACAAGGATTTAGGGTGAAAAAGAAGGATCTTGTACGATTCTTTAATTTTGTGACTACTGTTTGTCCTTGAGGAGGGAACTACAATTCTTATAGGGGAGATGTTTGTCCCTGGAGGGGATACTAAATAAAAAAATAATAAATAAAAAAGGAAAAAAGGTGGTGACTGTCTTCAAGATTATTAAGGGAATGTATAAGACAGAAATTGTTGGTCAGATGATTGTATATTTACTTGTGTGTGTTTTGATAGCCAGGAGAGCTAAAATGAAGCAAAACTGCAGAGGATTTTGGAGTTTAAAAAATTTTTTTTTGGTTTTTACGAGACAGGGTTTCTCTGTATTGTTTTGGAGGCTGTCGGTCCAGCCCAGCCTCGAACTCACAGTGATCTGCCTGCCTCTGCCTCCCGAGTGCTGGGATTAAAGGCGTGCACCACCACCGCCTGGCAATTGGATCCTTCTCCCTCGCAGAGGCCCCTGCTGCTGTATCGGAGCTGTACCGGGGCTGGGGGAAGGGAAGGTGCACATGAGAGACAACAGGAAGTATCTGCCCCTAAAGAGGTTGGCCAGATTAAGGACGACATATAGGGCAGAGAAAAAGTTATTACGTATCAGGACGAGAGTCTTCACATCCCTCATTTTAACTAGAAATACAGAGAGGCAGAAACCTAGTGGTAAAATTCAACAAAGCTTAGACTTGAAAGATTTAGCAAAATCACTTTCACAGGAGATAAGAACTTTTCAAGTTTCCTCAGATCAGAGAAGTGTTCCTTTGTCTAAGGCAGCCTAGGGGCAGGCAACCCTCAGGTCATGGCTGGTGTCTCCAACATAGGTTAGTGTTGGAGAAGCTGCAAACAAACAAACAAACAAAAAAGGAGCGAGCCAGAGCCCAAAACTTTCCCCTTTGTTATAAAGTGTTTGCTGAGAAAGGGCAAAGATATAGATCAGCAGTTAACTTTGATAGCAGTGTATGGGCAGATTGGCCCAGCAGCCAGGAGAACTCGAAACAGGCTTTCAGCCACCAGGACACGGGCTGGAGGTTTTGGAAAGAACAGGCAAGGATTTAAGGAGTTATTTCAAATTTTGTCTTTAGGCAACTACAAACATCATCCAAAATAAGGGGAGATACAGGTGTTAACCTTTTGATTGAGACAACTAGCTTACGGAAATGCTAATACAGCATGACAGGTCATGCTAAGACCTTGTAGAAAGGAAGGTGACACAAATGAGTCTATTAAAGGTTTGTTCGGATGTCAGACCGGCAGGAACTTAAAAAGTCCAGGGCGCAGGAGAGAAAAATGGCCACAGGTAATTTACAGCAGGCCAGCCCAGGCCCAAAGGCCAGGGGTGAGGAAGGTCAGAGCCGGAGCCTAGGACGCTCACAGCCTTGAGAGCTGCTGCCATGGCTGACGCCCAGACAAATGTATAGAAAATGCTTTTAATACAGCCAGTCAGAAACTGTTTTAAGACTTTACAGAAAAGAGACAACATAGATAAATTTGGATTTGTTCAGATTTTGGATGCTCAAGGATTGGCTATAGCTATTGTGTTACAAGAGACTTCAAATTACAGATGTTTCATTTCAACTAACCATAACCTAGGCAAGAGGAGAGATGAAAGAGATGTACGCACGGTCTGTGTGTATAGGCGTGGCCATGCCAGTATGTATGGAATGTGAAGTGTAAATACGTGAATGTTGACGAAAGCAACTGTTCTAATTGCTTGTCAAAATCGTCAAACAATGAGGTTTGCCCACAATATCTATCTGTAACTAATTTAAACATGAGCCTACTTCCTAATCATTTATGACAAATGTTACAGAGTTTGACAAATTAAAAAATGTATACATGGCAGGTTCTTTGGTCACCACAAACAGAGAGTTACCAAGAATGTGATGGATCACTGTTTAAAAGTTTTTGCTTACATGGGAGTTCCAAAAGTGATAAAAAAAAAACCAGACAATAGGTCTGTATATTCAAATAAAGCATTCAGCTATTTTGTACTCAATAAAAAAATTAATCACAACAGGTATCCCTTACAGTCCTCAGGGAGTTGTGGAGCATGCTCATAGCTCCTCAAAAATGCAACTTCTACAAAACTAAAAAGGGGGAGTAATAGTAATGTCACTAATCCCCACCTGGTAAGTTTTTACATGTGAAAATGAAATGGCTTATTCCATGTTGCCTACAAATTTATGTTTATTAGCTGCCCTCCTCCCAGATGTAGAGGAAGTGAGCCCATAGATTATCATATTCCTAGACATAAGAGAGCCATCTAATTCATACCCCTGTTAATGGGACTTGGAGTATCCTGCCTTAACCAGGCATGGGAGTAGCTATTCAGACATACTCCACA